TTGATAAGATACGTGAGAGGTTTAGTGGATCAGATATGAGTGTGTCATCGACACTTGTAGACTTAAGTCTACATTTTACCAAGAATAATAAAGAAAGTGTCTCTCAATTAGAATATTCTCGGGTAATTAGAAGTTTAATGTATCTGATGAGTTGTACTAGGCCAGATATATCTTACTCAGTTAGCAGGCTTAGTAGATACACAAGTAATCCCGATGCTTCTCATTGGAAGGGCATTGTGCGGGTGTTAAGGTATTTACGCTACACTCAGGATTATGGGTTGCATTATACTCGATATCCAGCGGTGCTTGAAGGCTATAGTGATGCAAATTAGATATCAGATATAAAAGACTCAAAGTCCACTAGTAGATATGTGTTCACTCTTGGTGGGGTAGCCGTGCCTTGGAAATCTTCCAAGAAAATGTGTATATCTAGATCAACGATGGAATCAGAGTTTATTGCTTTAGATAAAGCAACAGAAGAAGCTGAATGGCTACGCCATTTCTTTGAAGATATTCCACGTTGGTCTAAACCTGTGCCAGCTATTTGTATTCATTGTGATAGTCAATCTGCAATTGGTAGGGCACAGAGTAATATGTATAATGGAAAGTCTAGACATATCTGTCGTAGACATAATTCCATACGACAACTACTCTCGAATGGAGTTGCCTCTATAGACTATGTAAAGTCTAAGGACAACATTGCGGATCCACTAACTAAAGGGTTAAATCGAGTGTTAGTCGAAACGTCGTCAAAAGGAATGAGGTTAAGGCCTTTGGAAAGTTACCGGAATGGAAACCCAACCTAGTTGACTGGAGATCCCAAGATCTAGGTTCAATGGGACAACCTAATTGCGTGTAACGATGGTATGCCACTGAGGAGGTTAAACCTCTAGCCATTCCTTCTATCAGTGATACCTGCAAGTGTAGAAGTTAAGTTGAGCTTTTAATGACTCTAGTGTGTTAAGTTGTTGAGCTGAGTATAGTAGGATACTCAAGTAGAGTCACTTATGTGAGTTTGAAGTGGGGCCGCTTCTAGAAGAATTGGGCAGGCCAAGATTCTTTGAAACCACTCGCTGAACCAGGCTAGTGTCCAGGGCCATACAGGGCACACCAGTGAGAACAGAATGGTGGTAGGAGTAATTCCCGTGTGAGATCTATTGTCTCAGTTTACATAAACGGCAGAGCAGTTTAAGATGTCTTATTCACTGATCAGCTAGTAAACTCGATAGGTTTTCACTGGGAGAGATTCAAAGCCAAAAGCTACCTTCTTTGATGTCGGGGTTAGTCCGTTGTACTCTCTCTTCGAGTCATTTTTGGTGACTTTAATTAAATATTAAAGTAGGTCCCAACCATCTATTGTGTTTGGTCCAAGTGGGTCTAGATACTTTGCAATGGGATCTTTACACCACAAAATAGTATAGCCAAAACCATTGAAAATTGAATGAGAAATTGTCCAATGAAGTTAGCTTCATGAAAGAGTTAATGGGGTTTGTAACTTCTGCCTTTGTTACAGAGTTTAGTAGTGCATTAATGGAGTTTGCAACTCCTGCCTTTATTACAGAGTTTAATAGTGCATTAATGGGGTTTGTAACTCCTGCCTTTATTGCAGAGGTTAATGGTGCATTAGTGACCAGCCATAAAGGCTGGAGGCTTCTCCTCTCTCCCCTATACATGTATAAATTGAGACTCTCTAGTCAAGTCTCCAACACAGAAATCGTTTCTTCCATTCTTTAGTTAGTTTGCCAGAAAGTTCCTGCTGTGAGAGAGTGCTGCCACTGTTTTTGTTCGCTAAGCTAGACAGAGAGTGCTTCTGTTATAGCTGGTTTTTGATCATCGTATCCTGGGAGACAGACGCCGGGATTCCTCAAGCACTCGACCCGTGAGGCTGCGAAATCCGTTTTAAGGAAACTGCTACCGTGTAGGTTTCGGTTTGATTTCTTTATCATTTTATTATTTTGTATATTTCTGTTAAAATTTAGTTATCAGTATATATTTTTGATATGTAATTTTAATTTTTTCATAAATTTCTTTAATTAATTTTACAATTTAAACAACAAATGATTGAGTGCACAATCAGATATGTGAATATTTAACTAGCTGGACTGCTTTCAGGTGTCGCATATGTCCATGATATGATTCAAGCTAAAAAAATAGCAACAGATAGCCACCGTGATTCATGTAGCACGTACAAAATGCAGACGATTTCACGTGCAGTCTTCAGAATGAAACTTGGCAGTATTCACAGCATCAGAAAGCGGATAAAATCCTGCCAAAAAATGAAAAACTAATTAAATAATTTTTTTCAATAATTAATGCATAAGCAGGAAGTTAATCATGAAAATGGCCCTGTTTGTTTGGTAGAGCTGTGGGAAAGTGCTTATAGTTTATGCCTTAACAGCTTATACTTTATAATTATGAACATAAGCTGATTTCTGACTTATAAATTAAGCTTCTCCTGCTCCACTCAAAGAATAAGCTGATTTCTGATTTACAAAAAGCTATAAGCTGCATTGTTAAGCTAAACCAAACACATCAAAATAGCTTAAATTAAGTTAAAAGCTGAAATAAGCTGAAAAAAAGTTGTACCAAACAAGGCCAATATCTGAATTGATATATTAGATTACCCTAGATCAAGAGTTACATAGCGACTGTTTGAAAAGTTACTATTTTAATAGATTATTTTACTTTTTGACTTTTTTAATAGGATAAAATTTTTATATTTGGAAAAATAGTTAGATTTTTTTATAATTAAAAGTGATATTTATGAGGAAAAAAAAAATAAATGATTATAAATTTAATGTGACATTTTATATTATTAATTATTTTAACTTATTTTATATTTTTATGAATTTTAATTTAAAAAGCCAAAAAAAATAACATTGCCATGTTATGAAATTGGACAACTATTTTATAAGTTCGAGAGTAAAAACTTTGCTGATCAATTAGAGTAGGGCTGTGATACCAGTTGAAAGAAACAATTTCATTTCACTAAATGATACCCCCCTTTTTTTCCTTGTCAAAAGTTGCAACTCGCGAGAGAAAGGTAAAATTAAGGTTCCGTTTCGTAGAGTTTTAGAATTAGAATTTGAGTATAGAGTTGTATTTTAAATTTGTAAATTTTAAAATTATGATTTGAATATAAAAAATTTGTTTGGTTATGAATTTTAAAAAGAATTTTGAATTGAGTGATGTGACATATGATATTTTAAAAATTTACAAAAATACAGTAAAAACAAAAAAAAATATGCAAAAAGAAAGTAAAATTTTTAGAAAAGTATTTTTAGAAAACTCAAACCAAGTGAAAAAATCTTTAAAAAATTCACTAAATACAAAAAATATTAAAAAAAAATTACTAAAATTTAGTATATTTTTAGATAAAGCTGATGTGTTAATAATGTAGCAGATTTTGTTAGTTTTTTTTTTGATAAAAGTTAGTTTAGAAGTAAAGTGAGAAGGATTGCAAACATGAAAGATCAAAGTGGAAAAATTATACTTAAAGAGCCAAAGTGGAAAATAGATGAAATTTTAAGGGAGCAAAGTGTAATTTATCCTAAATTTTAATAAAAAAATTATTATAAATTATTACATTATTTTTTTAAACTTTTCCACGTATCATTTTATAAAAGTCAAAAAAATCAACAAAAAAACAAATTCTCAAACATTGCCTTGGCTTTTTGTTTGGGATGTTTTAACTTTTTGATTTTTTTGGTTATTTGTGACTAAAAAGTCTCATTTGGGATGAATTTTTTAGTTTTTTTGACTTTTATGAGAGAAAAAATGAAATGATTATGATTTAGATGTGACATTTTATTTTATTAATTTTTTAACTTATTTTATTTTTTTATGACTATTTTAACCCAAACTATTCACGCCAAACATAACCTTTTTACCAAAGTGTCTCAGTAAAATTGTACTGAGCCTAATTATTAAGAGTAATATTCACCCTGTTTATTTTTAGTTTTTAAAATTCATTTTTTAGAAAATTATTTTTTTCATTTTTCATTTATCGTATTTTTTATTTTCATTGAATTTTTTTAATATTTTAAGTATTTTTTTTAATTTTTAGGAATACTATTTAGATACATCTAAGTAAGGTACATTTAAAAAAATAAAATAATTGCTTAAAATTTAAAAAATATTTAGTAAAAACAAAAAAAATACAAAAAATGAAAAAACTCAATTTTTAAAAAATTAAATTCAGAAAATTGAATGCAAACACACTGATTATAAATTCAACAATTTTACTCTGAATTATATTTAAAAATATCAATTTATAACTTAAATTCATTTATATACATGTTAATGCAATCTCCACCACATGCAACATAATCTATTTAATTTTATCAGGGACCATAGAAATTTTCAATTATTAATCTTTAATGTTAGAAAAATGATTTGGAATTTTAATTTTTGAGCTTTAAAACCAGTTTTAATGAGCTGCAATAGGCCTCACCCACTATGATATGATGTTTTGATTTTGGTTTGTTTGTTAGTTTTTTTTTTTTTTTTTCATTGTCATATCATTAGTGTTCTATTAGAATATCAAAATTAGGTCAAGTTTGGAACTTTCAGAAGTCTACACTGAAATCATAACCAATACATAACAAAAAAATTAAAATATTTAAAACTTTTTTTTTTTGGATGAGCCGTATTTTTGTCATTCTTTTTTTAAAAATTCTCCCTACACACTAATTTATACAATTTTTTAATACACATTTTTTTATAAAAAATTAAAAAATTAACTCAAATATCCATATTTTTTCCCTCAATTTTTTAGTTTAAAGGGATAAAAAATACACTTATTTAAGACACCCAAACAACCCCTTAATATTCTGAATCATTATTGTTAACGTTAATAGATCAGTAATGATATGTAATTCCAATATTAAAACTCTAAACGAAGTTTTAATAAAATGAAAGAGAGAGAATAAAGGGTGATAAGGGGAGAAGTGTGGATCTCTCATTTCCCATATTAGAGCTATCAAATTAAACCACTTAAACATTATGGTTAATAGATATAGTTTCATCAAAATTCAAAATCCAAACAATACACATATACATATACAGCCCAAAAAAATGGCGCATCCAATCCGTATCCCTAATCCTAATCCTAATCCATCTTCTTCTTCCATTGATCCGAACAGTGGTTTCTGCTCAGAGACCAAAAGCTACCACAGCATCAGACCCCACTCTCTCCTTCCTCCCGAAACCACCTCTCTTTCAATCACCGACTTTGTCTTCTCTCTCCTCCTCCAAAACTCTCCCTCCTCACCGGAAACCACCGCTGCACTCATCGACGCCGCCACCCGCCGCCGCATTCCCTATCCCGATGTCGTAACCCGTACCAAAACCCTAGCCGCCTCTCTTCACCACCAAATCGGACTCTCCAATGGCCACTCCGCCTTTGTTCTCTCCCCGAACTCAGTTCAAATCCCGATTCTCTACCTCTCTCTGTTCTCTCTCGGCGTTACCGTCTCTGCTTCCAATCCGACTAGCTCCAAATCCGAAATTTCTCGTCAAATCGACCTCTCCAAACCGGTTATCGCCTTCGCTATCTCCGACACCGCTCACAATCTCCCCTCACTTCTCCACCGTACGATTATTCTCGATTCGCCGGAGTTCGAGTCCATGATGACGAATCGAACTCGAAAATTTCATCGAATTAGCGTTTCTCAGTCCGACACGGCGGCGATTCTCTACTCCTCGGGAACTACCGGCAAATCCAAAGGCGTGGAGCTGAGTCACCGGAACTTCATATCGTCGTTGGCCGGATCACAAGCTTCTCGTCCGGTGAGATTTTCGCCGGCGGTTAGTTTCTGTGCGGTTCCGTACTTCCACGTGTACGGATTTCTGTTGTGTGTGACGGCGGTGGCCATGGGGGAGAGTTTGGTGTCTTTTGGGAGGTTTGATGTAGGGATGATGATCAGAGCGATTGATGAGTTTAGGGTCACACGAGTGGCCTTGGCCCCACCTGTTATTGTTGCGATGGTGAGAAAGGGTGATTTGATGGACGGCGGCCACGATTTGAGTTCGCTGGAGGTGGTGGGGTGCGGCGGAGCTCCGCTGCCGAACGCCGTTATTGAGAGGTTTAAGAAGAGGTTTCCCGGGGTGCTAGTAGCGCAGGTTAGTCGTTAGTATCCCTAGCAAGGATGTCTAGAGTGATTTTTTTTTAAAGTTTTCTAAATTGGTACATTGTGTGGTTGAGATTTACTGATATCCTCTAGAGTGATTTTTTTTTAAAGTTTTCTAGAGTGCTATATTGTGTGGTTGAGACATCAATTTTTTTGACGTGACTTAACCACACAATGTAACACTTTAGGAAACTTTAAAAAAATTTCACTTTAAAAGATCCTTGGTGGTTGATACTAAAGTGCAAAAAATATATTTGGTGGTTGATACTAAAGTGCAAAAAATATATAAAATAATAAGGGTTTAGTGTTTTTGGAGTCGAATAATGTCAGCAACACATAAACTAAGACTGCGAGTAATTTTTTTAATTAAAAAATTATTAAAAAAAATTAAAAAGTCAATAATTTATATTAAAAAGTTAAATTTTTTTTTTCTATTTTTTTTTTTTGTAAAAAATTAAAAAATTATCTTAAATATATTATTTTTTTCACATTATATTTTAGTTAAAAAATTAAAAAATTACTAAAAAAACATATTCCCAAATAAGGCCTAAGCATAAAATGAGACAGGACCCTTTTATGTGAGCCTCACTGTTTTTGAGAGAGTTGCGTCTTATTTTGTGTTTGGATTTTATGAACATATCTTGAGAAATCTTTGAGCTTAGTGGGCTATTTTGAAGTGGAACTCAAGTGATCTAAATCATTTATTAGGAATAAAATATTTGTATAAAAAATTAAAATAATTGATATCTTTAGTTATAGATAATAATTATAATTTTAAAAGTAGTAACTTAATTTTTGTAATAAAAATATGATTCAAACATATAATTATTCAATTATCTTAATTATTTTGCATGGGTAATAAATTTTAAAAACAAACAGTTGGGATTACCAAATCGGTCTGCTAAGCCCAAGCAAGGGCCAACTTGACTCAACGCCAGAGAATCCAAGCTCTAAAATAAAGAAGATAGGTCAAGCTGTCGACTCGTATCAAGATGGGTGGATTGGATTACGCGAATTAACTCTAATACTAATATTAATAGTCAACATTATTGTCATTTCATTTTCATCACATATAGTTGTTTTCTTAATTTAATGGATTTCTACTCTTCTTTAATAGCTCATATTTGAAAAGAAATAAATAATACATACAACCCCGTTACACGGAAGATCTATGTTCCATTTCTCACTTACATGAAATTCTCCTTGGTTTTTATTTTTTACATTTTCATCAAATCATGAAAAATGACATATTTTCTACGGATTTTGATGGGCTGCTAATGATATTCATGATTCACTTTGCATTTAGTCATATGGTCTGACAGAATCAACTGGCGGAATATCGCGAACGATAGGTCTAATTGAAAGCCAAATTTTAGGGTCATCCGGCCGTCTGATGTCATATTGCCAAGCCAAAATTGTAGACGTTGAGACCGGTATCAACTTACCTCCTTTCAAGCATGGGGAACTTTGGGTTGGAGGCCCATACATAATGAAAGGTGATCTCATTTTTACCCTTTTAGGCACAATTTCCACCACAAAATTTTTAATTTAGAAAGTGAATGTGTTTAGAATGTGAGTGAACTTGAAAGTTTTGTGGGTACAAATAGCAGCACCCACACAAGTACTTACAAAAGTGTCAGAAAACAAAATGTAAGATGTAGATTTTACAAATGAGTTTCTCATAGGTTGTTTGTGATTTTTGTTTAAGGCTACGTTAATGACAAAGAAGCAACTGCAGCTATTATGGATTCAGAGGGATGGTTAAGAACTGGGGACATCTGTTATTTTGACAATGAAGGATTCTTATACGTGGTGGACCGTATAAAGGAGTTAATCAAATACAAAGGCTATCAGGTTATGTATGCAATAATGCAATACAAATCTTATTACTATTTTTATTTTTGCTAGTATTGATATAGCAATGAGAACTATTCAATCTTGGTTAGCATCCGCCACATATTTTTCTTCCTTTGACTATTCACATTGTGTCTGTTTGTGTGTGCCGTGTATTTGCATATACAAATAGGTTGCTCCAGTGGAGCTGGAAAATCTACTTCAAACCCATCCACATATTGTTGATGCTGCCGTGGTTCCGTGAGTATATTCTCTACTTAGTTTGTTGTGTTACTGCTTAAAATATTAGTATATTAGTACAAATCATATGGTAATGATTATTAGATTAATTCGACTTTTTCATGAATGATTTACCTATCTGGACTTAAAATATTAGTGGAACTGATATTTAAAATATGTCGTGCGGCAGGCTTACATAACCAAACCGGACCATTCCATTGGATGGACCGGAGATAGATCCAATCCTTTTATATTGCTACAAACTATGCTTAATGGTTGGGTTATTGATAAAATCGGTGATGAAATTTGCAGGTACCCAGATGAGGAAGCAGGTCAAGTACCCATGGCCTTTGTTGTAAGACAACCTGAGAGCACTATTGATGAATCACAGATCAAGGATTTTATTGCAAGACAGGTTGAACATGTGGTGAACCTTAAGAGTAATGTTAGAGACCTCAAATATTTTATTAAAAATTTTACCCAATGTCTCACATGGGTGTGAGACCCACACAATATGTGTCCTATGTAGGTCTCACGCCCATGTTAGACATTTGATAAAATTTTTGATAGAATTTTTAGAGTCTCTAGCCTTTTTAGTGAACCTAAATATTTAGTTTTTGTCTTAACTATTCATGGCCATCCACATTGAAAAAATATGAATTTGCATCCTCAATAAGGTGAAATCTCAAGTCTCTTTTTTTATGTGAACGACATGAATAGTTTAATATCAACACCAACCTGATTATCTAGGACAACAAATAGTAACTAGCCTCCATTTAACCACCATTTTTTATTTTTATTTTTTCTATGAGACTTACATTTTAAATAAATCTGTTGTAGGTGGCTCCATACAAGAAAATAAGGAGAGTATTATTCATTGATTCAATACCCAAAAATGCTCCTGGCAAGGTGTTGAGAAAAGAATTGATCAAGCTTGCATTATCTGATTCTGGTGTTTCCTCCAAGTTATAACTCTTTCTTAGTTCTTGTTTGTTTATTTATTAATGTGTTAAAAATAAAAAGAAGTTATTTGGAAGGGAAGAAAATGTAAACATCTTTCTTTGTAATCATTGCAATCAAAATAATACATCAGCTGTCCTCTCCATTTGTGAAGATGTTGGGTGTGTTTGGTTTGTGTTTGTAGAGTAGTTTTTGAGGTAAAAAGTACGAAAACTTGTTTGATTTGTATTTTTTCAGAAATTATTTTGGGGGGAGAGTTTTAAAAAAAGTGATTGATTTGATGTGTATGTGAAAGAGAGTGATTTTGAAAAGTAAGTAATCAAATAAAATTTTGAATTTTTTTTAAAAAAATTTGTTTGATTTAATTACTCTTAAAAATTTATTTGTGGAGAATTTTTTTCAAAATTTTTTCTGAAAAACAAACCAACGCATTCTGTGACTTTTGTAAGCTCATTTGAGGATATCATTCACTAGGTGGCATTTAATGGCTCTTTGAGGATACTCTGTTATGGTTTTACTGTCGTAATCCAACGGTTTAAAATAAAAGTTGAAGTAAAAGGAATGGATTCTATCCAATTGGGCATTTAATTGGAAAGATATTGTTGGACATGGTCATCTTGGTTTATTTTATAAGGCTTATTAAGTAAAATATTTATTAAAAAAATTAAATTGATCGAGAATTAATAATTACATAATCAAATTACATTTACTTTTAAAAAGTGGATGACATAGATTTTGAAAATAAACTATCTATTTCCAATCATATGGCTATTAATGTTTAATCAACTTTACTTAAAAATATATTCAAGTTTAATTTAAAAAGTTAATTTACTTAAAAAGGTGTTCAAGTTTGACATGTTTACACATGACAAGATAAGAATGAAGAAAAAAAGAGATTTTAATCATGTTAAATGTATCAAGAGTGAGGATTTTAAGGTGTTGGTGAAGGATAAAGAGATTAATGAGAGGTGGAAGAGCTATTTTGAGAAGTTAAATGATAGGGCTGAGCAAGAAATTTGTGAAATCCGTAATTCGATTCAGTCCAATCCAATCTAGTAGGTTTGGATTGATTTTTTGAATTCGCGGTTCGATTCCGGATTGAAAAATTAAAAATCCGTAGTTCACGGATGGGTTCCGGATTGGAACCAATCCGGACCGTATACATATAGTCTATATTTTTATTATATACCCTTCTGCATAGTATCTTCTCTTATTTCATATAAAACTTAAATCCAAACTTAAACTCGCATAATATCTTCTTTCATTACTTTGTTTGCTAGTTTTTAGTGTTAATTTGTAATGGTCTAAATATTTATGGTGGAACTAGTTTTTTTTATGGTTGTTTAAATTCTAGAACAGTATGTCGCTATTATGAAAAGACATGTTGCTATTGTGAAACTAATATGGTGCTATATTTATATTTTTATGAAACTAAAGTGTTATATATATATATATATATATTTTTTTTGTTATTTAATTATGTAAATTCGTGGTCTTAAACCGATCCAATTTGTGTTTAAATGAATTGGTTCGGATTGGTTCTATGATTTAAATGGATTGGATTGATTCCAATTTTTCTAGGAACCGTAGATAACGGATTGATACTGGTTTTACCCAAATCTGGTCCAATCCGGACCATGCTCACCCCTGTTAAATGAGAAATATGATGGAAGGTCAAAGGAGAAGAAAATAGACAGTAATAATGAAAATTAAGACTACAACTTCTATTGCAAGATTAAGAATTTTGAAGTGGAGATTGCACTTAAGAAGATGAAATCGAATAAGGGTTTAGGACCCGATGAAACCCCTATTGAAGCTTGAAAATGTTTGGGTAAGAAGAGGATTGTTTAGTTGACTAGGTTAATTAGCAAAATTTTATTGACTATGAAAATGCCAGAGGAGTAGAGAAAGAGTATTTTAGTGTCAATCTATAAGAATAAAAGAGATGTCTAGAATTGCAACAATAATAAAGGAATCAAGTTGATATGTCATAAAATGAATGTGTAGGAGAGAGTGAGGGAACGCTGATTGCGAGATATAACAGAGGTGTCAGAGAATTAATTTGGATTTATACCCGATAGGTCAACAATGGAAGCGATTTATGTTTTGAGAAAAGTAATAGAAAAATATAGAGAGAAAAAAAAAATATTCATATGGTTTTTGTCGGTCATGAGAAAACATATGATAGAGTATCTCGGGGATATAATCTGTGATACTCAAGTCCCAAATATTTCATTAACTTCAACTAAACATTTAATGTTTATCACAAAAAATAAAAATAATAAAAATAAAATAAAAAATAAATAAAATAAAGATAAAAAAATAATAATAATAAATACATAAATAAAACAAAATACTAGAAGTATATTTAAATGGCGTGTGTTAAAATGTCATCTAATTAAGAGCCATTAGTTTTATCAAAATATAAGACGTAATCTTCAAAGTAGAAAATAAATAAATAAAACGAAATAATAAGAATAATAATAATTACTCAACAAAATATATAGGTGGCCCTAGTAGTTTGATACACTAGTATGTTTTAAATACTTAGGATAGGGTAGTATGTTCTAGGTAGGCTTTGATGGTCATCAAAAAATGTGCCACTTGAAGATCGTGCTAAATATGAGATCTGCCACCTGTAAAGAAAATCATTAAGGAATGAGTTGGCTTAGGGGTCTCAGCATTTGTGCAAGTATATAAAGAGGGGAGAGATGATAAGCGTAGGCCACACAAAAATAGGGAGAAAAGAAAGTGGAGCAAAGAGGAAATCAGAGGGATCAGGAAGAGGAAACAGTAGGGGTCAATATTAAAATGAGTAATATTATACTTTGAGTCACCATAATATATTTTACGAATGTTTTGAGTTACCATGAATTATTTTATATAATTTATGTTTTATGGTTATATTAATGTTTCAATTACGTGGATTATTTTCTAAACTCTATTTGCTTAAATTGAAACGCATAGATATGTTTGTTTAAATTTTAGAAAATATTTGATAATGATTTTATAAACATTTGTTTTGAATAAGTACCACCACGGAGGTCCCATGCCTTAGGGGACTTAAATAATTACTGGTTCTCCAAATTGTCACTTTAGTGACCCTCTAATAGTCGCATGTCTTGGGAGACTTAAATAACATTTGACTCTCTGATTAGTTACTTCGTGACCCTCTGTCCATCATGGATCCATTGACCTTCTGTTCTGTTCTGTTCTGTTCTGTACCGTGGTTATAATTATTTTGTTTATATGATTTTGTGTTATATGTCTGTTATTAAAAATAATTTATTCGAACCAAACTATTCATCGTTTAGCCTAAATAATTATCCATGGTGATTTTATACCCTCATGCTCTCAGTATAATATTTTTCATTCTGCCATGTGCTTATAACTGTTAAAACCCCTTTCAGGAGAAGAAATTTAAAGAATGATGGTTTTATCTTGTGGATCAGAACCTCAAATTTGATATGGATATCATTTTTTTTTTCTTGTAATCATTATCCGACTAATGTTATATCGTTACATAAATAATAATTTTCATGTACGCTTCGGATATTAATCTATCTCTTTTATTTTATTCCGCTGCATTATTTAAATTAATTACTTGGAATTACTTTGAGGGATTTTAGGATTAGCTAGTTGCGATCCAGCCTTGGTCATCGGGATGGGTTGTGACAAAGAGGTATCAGAGCAATGGTTTAAAAAAAAAAAAAAAAAATTACGTTGAAGTCTTTTTCTATAGCTTAGTTGGGCATCTTGTAGTGCAGGCATTGTCAGAATTTAACTTTAGCGACTCTTTTTGGTACGGGCCTGATCCCCCGGACGTTGAAGGAATTTTTGAAAATAACAATTACGTTCCAAACTTACTAGAGGAAATAGGTGATTCAGAAGCAATAGTTAGGCAGGCAGACCCGACCCTCAACCGACTCATGGGCCGACCAGTATACTTAAGGGCTATCCCCATAGAAGTAGACACACAGTGGTGAAGGGTTGACACTATGAGTACCTTAGATAGGTTTTTAAGACCTACACGGGTAGTAGGCATGGCCCCGAGTCAGGGATATCCTCGTTATTTAGTGGCACCTTTACCTTCAGAGTTTATGGTTCGACGAGGAAATGCCTTCTTAAGTGATCACATTCAAGCAAGAGTCCTTCCCCCTCAAAACCTAATTAATACTCAGATGATTGACTTTGGTGACATTACGACATATGTGGAGGTACCTGTGCATATCACAAGACGACAGCTGTGGGGTTACGAGACAAGCATCCCCATATACCGAGTGAAGGTGATATGGCGATGCTTTGGAATCAAGCAAAGTGGTTGGGAGTTTGAGCATCACATGTAACTACAGTACCTATGACTATTTTTAACCTAAGATCCTGATAACAAAATCATTTCTTTTGTTGTTTTTGTGTTTTTCTTTTTCCTTGTGTTTGGTGTCCAAGTGAGCTGACCATAACCTAGTTCCAACCCGTTTTGTCATGGAGGGTTAGGCACTAAATTGACATAATCGCAAGTGATGTACCAACACCATTAGACATGAATAAAATCGGTGTTTTGTGAATAATGTATATATTGTCTATGTTTTGTAGATTATGTGAATATGTTTTGATTTAGGTAATTAATAGAAATCATGCACCACGTTTATTAAAATTGTTTTATAGCTATGTCTAACAATGAAAATGGTACCGGGTCATCATCTAATGGAGCCGATCCAATGGAAAGGATTGTGGAAAGAGCTATTACCAGTTTCTTGTAAGCCTTGCAGAATAATGGGTCACCAGAACATTGAGAAGGGACAACTACGATTAAACAGTTCCAAGACCTGAACCCTTCCACGTTCATAGGAGGTTCAAACCCGTTGATAGCTGAAGTTTGGGTTAAAGAAATGGAGAAGATTTTTCGTGCCCTACCCTACACAGAAGAACATAAAGTATCTTTCGCCACTTTCACCTTCAAGGAAGATGCGCAGGAATGATGGCTTCTCACCTTAGAAAAAGAAGAGATCGTGACTTGGGTGAGATTCCTAGAGGTGTTCTATGAAAAGTATTTTCCAGAATCACTACAGGAGCAGAAGGCATTTGAGTTCCTATATTTGAGGCAATAAACAATGTCGGTGGCGGAATACGAAAGTAGGTTCACGCGACTAGCTTG